CAGTAAATGTTAATGTACATTTGCCATGACATAATCGGGTGAATTATAGCCATTAACTTTGACTTATCATTCTCCAATACAAGATCGTCGTATTTATAATGACATTTAACCTTCTGGTCTTGGAGGAGTTTGGTAATAGAGAATTCATTCAATATTTGACGTTTACCGTTATTGTTGTAATACATATGTACTATCATATAAATGGCGATATGCTACTGTGGTAAATATCATAATGCATATCTGATATGGTGCTACTAGTACCATAAGGGATTCTATTTGTTTTACTTTATTCTACAGTGTAAATAAGTATATATGGATTAATACAATTAAAGTGTTTTGCTTACTTCACAGTTTTCCACAAAGTTGTTCGCCTCATTTATTTGCTTTTGATTATCTGTCTTAATTTTTTCCATCGAACATTTTCACTACACAGTTTCTTTCCGTCTGCTCTATCGGCCTCGTTTTCTGTTCAGAGGTAACGTATTATAGTGAAAGCATAAATTAAATTTTTTATAGATTGACCGAGACAGTAGGACAGCCCCTCGTATTTCCATTGGAGTTTGTGCTTAGATGGTCCCAATCCTAAATTGATTTGGTCACCGTTTTGGGGGTCGTCAAAACGTTGAACGTATCTTGCGATGACATTAAGTTAGTACCATTTATGACCTGTATTATAGTATGCTTTTGTTGAAATACATGTTTCTGTTTGTATGCTCCTAGGTAGGAAAATGTTAGTAATCGACGTCGTAACCCTGAGTGACTTCAAGAACTGGTGTTTTGAAGTTTATGACCCTGTATATGTTTAGCGATCAAATTGCCATACGTCAGTCACAGATCGACAAATCATACGCCGGTCTGCAGGACCTTTGTCAAGAACGTCGACAGCGGTTGGAAGGTACTCTGCAGCTGTACAACTTACATCGACAAATCGATGACCTGCTGCAGTGGATAGCAGAGCGAGAGGTGGTCGCCGGATCTCATGAACTAGGACAGGACTACGAGCATGTGCAGGTATGACATCCGGTATCTTTCTCGGACATTACTTCTTGCTTGGTTTTTACAGATGCTGCAAGAGCGGTTCCGCCAGTTCGCGAAGGACACCGAGTCAATCGGCTCCGAACGGGTTTCGAAGGCGAATCAGGAGTGTGACATGTTGATGAGTATGCATCACCCGGATGCGCCGACCGTCGCATTGTGGAAGGACAATTTGAACGAGGCGTGGGAGAATTTACTAGAACTGATCGACACGCGCACTCAGATGCTGGAAGCTAGTCGCAAGCTGCACAAGTTCTTCCATGATTGTCGCGACACACTGTCTCGAATTATGGTATGACAAGCTTATGTGCCAGTCTGCTTCTGATTCGCTGTCGTTCAGGCCAAGACTCACAGCATGCCCGAAGAACTGGGTCGTGACGCTAGCAGCGTGGCAAAGCTGCAGCGCAAACATCAGAACTTCCTGACGGACTTGATGTCGTTAGAGAACCAAGTGAAGCAAGTGCAGACGG